CTTGCAATCATGGTTGCTTTAGAAAATGAATTGAGGCTTTGTTGAACGAGCACCGAAAATTGTCTGAATGTATTTTGGCCTAATTCTTTGTGCGATTAATCGAAAGGCAGTAGGTTTAACGAGTATCTCTCTTAGAATGAGTAACCTGATTCGTTCAATTCTTCTCATTGGGCCAGAAAAACTGGTTCTTTCGCGACAATACTTCGCTTTTGCCATTGGTTCGTCGCAATTTCAGAGCTTGTCTGTGAATGATTTCCTCTGAAATCCAACAGAAAGCAGGTTTAATTTGTTTTATTGTAATTGCTAAGACCAACTTTATAATAACCTTGGGATTGATCCATAAGTCGTTATTTTCTTAATAAAGACACACGACGTTGTTTTTATACTATTTGTTAGCAGTGGCTAAAGTTTCGATGAGTTTTGGCTTGTAAGGGAAATAAGAAGATCAAGTTAACAGTAGTCAAGTCAGCCAAATAGCTCCATAGACTATACAGAAAAACCACAAAGCATAGAATTAGAATTAGAATTACTTGATCAATGCCGAGGTTAATAGAAAGTCGGTCGTGGGAGTTACAAAGCATAGATTTCAACTACTTTCTTTGAGTCTTTCGCTGAGTACGGTGAGCAGTCTCACAGAGCTCTCATGGAAGGGTAAAACTCCTCTCCCCTCTTATGACATCTACCAGTGACATTTCGTGGGATCACTTGTGATGACGAGGCATTCTTTTCAATGCTTCATTTCTGGCTTCTTGGAATTTGTGCAGTCGAGGTTCTAGATTCTAGTGAGAGGATGGTGGCTTCTACTTCAAAGCCTTTTCCATTATTTCCCTGTTTCCTACGTGCGTCGTCTAGTGGAATGTCTTGTTTAGCTTTACTGTTATTGTCTAAGTGTTCTTTTATACGAATACAGATTGGTTGACCCGTTTTCCCAAAGTATCCGGCCATGCATTCTATAGAAGGCATTCAGTATCCCATACCTAAACTCATGCAATCCGATGCTAGCACTTGGGAAAATTATGCAATTTTTCGTTTCTCATAAGCGGTCATACAATCAGTTACGAACTATTTGGCGCTTTCGAAAGTTCAGTGATACTCTTCAAAGCCACTCTTGTTTAACTGAAAATAAACGACAGGATATATGAGACCCTGTTCTCGCTAGACATATAGTTCGGAGGTCGTGGTTCTTCCTCTAAACCTGTCTCGCCGTGGAGATAGCGTTTCGTAACCGCTGGCAATGGCTAGTTGCAGCGAAGATTTCAAGGATTCCTCCTTTTCTCTTCCAGTGGACATAACTGTGGCTGTTCGAAACGTTTTTCTCATAAGCGCCTTACGAGAGAGGAGCATTGTCTGTCACTGTGAACGCTGCGCAGTTCGTCTCAACGTTCTCCACGTGGAATTCTCAGTAGTAGAAATCCCCACAGCTAACCTGCTATTAACCAAAGCATTGATCGAATGTTCTTTTGTTGAGCAAACACGAGGTTATCAATTTATTCCTTATTTGTAAACAAGATCACGTTTCGGCGGATTTCACTTTCTCCTCCTGGAAAAGCCTGGAAAAGTCAAGCAATAGAAGGAAGGCGAAATGCGCTGAAACGTCAGCTCGTTTAGGAATAAAGAGCAAATCAGGTACCTCGTTCGCTCATCAAGAGAATAGTGAATTATTCTTAGTGGTAGACTCATCGAAAACGATAGCTGCGTGAAGAAGCTGTTTTGTTTCAAACGCGATTGGCATTTAGACTTCGCGGTTTTTCTCTCGAGGTTACGGAGTTGTTTGGGTGACTGGGTTGCAACTGATTTGACTATTCCAAGCACTGAAGAAAAGGAAATTCACCGAAACGTTACTCACTATAAACAGATGGTATTGTTTTCTTCCAGTTCAGGAAACCATTTTAGTGCATACGAGAGCGAATAGTGCTTGTTTTGCAGTAGTCCTTTTTTCTGGGTACACCTTACTCAATAGCCGTGAATTTGGCTACGTTTCCAACTCGTTCTAAACTTTCAAGTTCCATTGAATTCTGAGTCTCAGGTTTCTGTAATGGAAAGTTGTTCGTCTCCTTATACTTATTTTCAGAGCAGTGTGTTAAACTTTTGCTGTTAATAGATGAACTCCACCGGAAGTTTTCGGCGAGCGTCAAAAAAATTGCTGGTAACATCAGGGATTTTTGTGACTCGGATTCTCTGAGGTGGAACTTTTAGAACCACCACCACCTCTTGTAGAAATAGAATTGAGGGGAATGAAGATTATACATCCACTTTCCATCAATCGTTTAATGGTTAACACAGTGGTGAGGTTATCATAATTGACAGTTATTTGGAAAATGCGGAACTCATTACCAACAGTAGTACATTTGTGCCGTGAAAAATTTTTGTCTATAGGAAAAAGTCCTAGTGAATTTCTTCTAGAATGTAGAATGTCACAAGTAGATTGGGTTCAGAGAGATTGAGTTCAGCTCATCTCCAGCAGTCTAATCAATTTATTGATGTCTAGTGGAATATGAAACAACTCGACGAGTCATTACTATCGTCAAGTCTGGGTTATTGATCGTTGATAAAAAGTTTAACATCGTAGACGTTTATGATTCATGCCAATCGTGTCATCATTCGTTTGTCAGTTGGCTTTTTGTGACACTCATCGATGAAATGATTTGTTGTCAAAGTTCGTTCTTCTCCTCTTTTTCTTTCCAATAAGTACTCGATTTCCTGGTCTCCTTCGTTGACGGGACGAGATCAGACTGATTTGCAGCTCAAAAGTGCTGGATTGAAAACTTTCTCAGTCATATGCGTTGTTGCTATGAATCCCATATGAGACTTTAATTTTGAAGTTTCAACAATCTGTTTTTTTTTTATTGCTCACTTGTTCGACAAGGGTAGTCGTGATCCGTGTCATCATTCATACTACTCCTCCCTTTCTCCTTTCTCATCCAATCATTTTTCTCGTTATTTTTGCCACCGATTTCATTATTTCAGGAAAAGAAGGAGCACGCACGCACGCACGCACACAAGCAGAATAAAAGATATAGAATTTTATAGAGATTTCATGAATGAATGCTAAACAGTGCTTGCATAATTGGGCGGCCTGTCTTGGCGAGTTGTGCAGAGCCTAAAATATTTTCCACTCGTTTCTTTGCCTCTCATCCATAAGCCATGGTGGTGATTTGATTGAAGCAAAGTCCCGGGTGCGAGTCCATATCATGATCTGTAAAGCAACTGCATCTGCGAGCACAGTAAATTATTTTTGGGTACAAACGCTTCTGGCCAACGTGTTGTTGGCTGTCCTAGGGGACGCCTGCATCCGTGTGGAGTCCACTCTACAGTTCTCTTCGTCCATCTGTCTGTCGTCTGTTCTTCACATTATGTGACTGGTCCATCTATGTTTCGCTATCGATGTATATTCACCTGGATCCCGAAAATGGGGTGGATTTCGAAGATCAGAGTTTCGTATTACGGCTAGCTGTTGATGTGCTGGTTGTATTTCAGAAGATATTGTTCAAGAGCTCTATGAATAGCACGTAGCATACTTGACGTGCTTGAAGTACACCCATGTCTCTGCTATATAACAGAGTGCTGTGAGGATTTGTTGAATCGAAAAGGTGAGCGCGGGGTTTAGGGTCTTTCGGTTGGTCGGTGGCTTCTGTGAGAGGCTCGAATGCGGCCCATGCTGCCTTTTTTCATCTCTCTAATTCCTCATTCATGTTGTTCTCTATGTCCATTGAACGGCCAAGGTACACATACAAAGGTGGTCGCTGCTAGTTAGGAAACCATCCAGTTTGTCAGTTCATCTTCACACCTTGGATATATCAAGAACTGGGTCGTCTTCCGATTTATAATAATAATAATAATAATAATAATAATAATAATAATAATAATAATAATAATAATAATAATAATAATAATGGTGATGACAGAAAAATGGTACTGGTCCAACTTGACATAGAAATTTGGCATTCATATGGAACTTTCTTTACTCAGCTTGCTTTTGAAATTATGTGGTCACATCCGTATTTAATTATAGGCTAACACGATGTTATTACATAGGTTTTATTCGGCTAACGTATCGACGTCTTCGTCGTCGCCAGAGCCGATAATTAGACTGCTGTAGAATGGATTATCCGAGTACTTAGCAATGAAGTACGATACATTGGTCATTCATATCGATGTTAAATGAAAGTCGGTTTACTGAAATTTGAACTTAAATGAATGCTGGATACTGATTGTATTTATTGAACGAAGGATATGTGGACATGTTTATGAAAGGAGAAATTTTCTTTCCTCCTTTCCCATTGTCTTCTGTTTCCAAGGTTTTTCTTTTCTACTAATAATCGTCGTCTTCTACAATAAGGATGCTGAGATATGAACAAAACGGGGAATCTAAGTTGTGCTTCTGTCGAGCCCGTGATTACTCACGAGGTGCTCACGTTCTATACACCACACCAACCGAGACTTTTGCGTTGCCTTTCTCACAACCTTTGTTTTACCATAACAGTGCTCTCAGCAGTGACCCGTCAGCGATAATGATCTGGAGATTATAAATCGGCATTGAACCCAGTTAAAGTGTGAGCTGCGTGGAAACCACAATGTCTTAACATTTATTCAATACCTACTTTTTTTCATAGCAAAGTAGGATGTGAACCACACTCGAAAGGTTCCGAAGGAGATGGCTTTGAAAAATGCAAATAGTGAGGGTAACAGCCGGTTCAAAGCCCAGTTGGGTTCTAGTTCACATCCTACTCTGCCATGGAAAAAGAACAAAAGAGTGGTAGCGGTTAAGTACTCGTTTTCTTGTCATTTTTGTTCATATAAGGCATACTTTAGATTGAAACGACCAAGGGAACATGTGAATCTATTTTCCCTCAAATTCGTACTCTTTTTTGCACTCCTTTTTGGTTTCGTTTTAGTTGTCTTTCCTTGCGAAGAGCTTATGAATGTTATGGACCGATATGTTAGATGATTAATGACTGCTATTATTACTACGCTATACTAAGTAAGAGTTTTATTGCAGTATGAGTGCGCAGGTGAAGGCTGAATATGACTTTGAAGCCCAACCTGGCACCGGCGAGATGAACATCACGAGCGGGGAGATTCTAACGGTTGTTCGTCGGGTTCGTTAACAGTTTTATGCTAAAGTAACAGCCAACTGATAAAATCAGTGTTAACTTCGGCATAAACCCAGCATGAGACTGGCGATCGTTTTTGCAGCGGATTACTAGGTTTTTTTATTTGCTGACAAATATCATTTAGTGAACAGTCTTTAGTTCTCTAGTGGTTAGTGGTTGTATAAGTTTATATTTTTTTAGCAAAGGAATAGATAATACTTCTATAGTTGTTGTATGCTATACATAAACTCTACTTTCCAATTTTAATTGGAACTTTACTACTACCGTTTTTCGCATTATTTGCTTGAATACTTGGTTGTACCTTCTTCACGGGTGCGGGCCCCAACATAATTTCTATTTCCTGGTTTAGCTATTGTGGTTCTGTGGAGTCTCGAGGTTAGCCTAGCTCAGGTCGTCACTATCGTAGGCATTTGGCGTCCCTGTGGATCAGAAGGAGATTTTCCAACAGAAGAATTTAATACCAGGACGGTGGTGATTCCTGATAATGCATTACTCTAGATAGGCTTCAGAATGGAAAGCTCGAACTCTATCTTAGCTTAGGAGGCCCTTCTAGGGCGGCACCCCTGCTGGACATCACAACCCGACTCGTAGGAACACCTAGCAAGGGTGAGGCAGTAAATCTTTGGATGATTTTACAGTATTACAAACATTTTTTTAGCGTAATTTGCACTAATTTATTGGATAATTTCTTTCATTTCAACGGAAAACCGAGTGTGGTGTTCTATTTAAACTTGAAAAGAAACTGTCTTTTTTTTTAAAAAAGGATCACCAAGTGGTTTCTATATCGCTCGACCCCGACTAGTAACGATTTGAATAGTTGCGCTGGTTCTGATTACGAATCGCTGTGGTGAATTGGATGGCATCGCACGGTAATTCATCGGCACAGATTTATGTGATCTTGGAGAGAGGAACTGGAAGAACTGGCGTCCTATACATTTGTCGGTGGAATTCATGAATAGTCGTCATCTGTGTTAAATTTCAGGAGACCGTTTAACAATCTTGATACGGAACGAAGTGCTTTTTGATCTGAGGCTTTTACATATTTCTATCAACTTTTTTTTAGTGAATAATGCTTTTTGTTTCTTCAGGAAACCTTATTATATCGGTTTAACTCGAAAAGGAAACTTTTGAAGTCAGGCTGCTGTTGTTCGACCCAAGTTGACATAAGTCATTAGATACCTATGAAATACAACGACGAATAAGCTGAATGTATTTATTGGCATCGGATTCTTTATCGGCTTCGATGAAATGTTGTACAAGTTTTAAATTGTTGAGTTAGCACGAGGTTGATAATGAGGTTTATCAACCTTTTGTAAGCTCAGCAGTTTAACCTCGTGAAGTGGAAACAATAGTAATGAACTACAGCAATAATCTTGTAGTCGCTGTAATAATAATTACTTTGTAACACTAACTAGTAAAAAAATTTGTGGGAATCACACCAGTAATTGTAAGTTTAAGAACAGGGGTAGGAGTAAAAGTAAGAATGAAGCAGTCCCTGTTCAGAATATCGAAGGTGGTTGGATGGAAGGAAGCAATTCACGAGGTCATGTCGGCTTGTTTCCTGAATCCTACGTCGTTCCATATTACGGTGCACCACCTGGTATACCACCGGTGAGTTCTCTGTCTTTTTTACTTTTCTCATAAAGACAAGAACACAAATGTGCTTTGTAATCGCGAATTCGAGAAGGTTTATTTGTATTCTTGTCCTTATTTCCTTCTCATTGAATGAAAAGAAAACTATGGTATAAGTAGATTCAGGAGAACGGTATCATAAATGTTAACTTTTCATTTACTGCCTATTACAATGTTTCACAGCAGGGTATTATGTGTGATGCAACCACAATGATGCTGAGATATTTGCAACACTGTGGACCAGCTGAGAGACAGACGAAACGAAGGACCCGCATGGTGTGGTGATGAATGCGTTACTCACCGGAAGGAGAAATAGCGCGTTCGTCTCCTACCGCAGACACCGGCGGTCCGGAGTTTTGCAAATATCTCAGCATCACTGTGATAATATCATAAATGTTTTCGTTTCTTCTAGCTGATGCTATTTGATATTCAGTTTTTTCATCTCGTTTGGAGTCGAGCGCCATAATCGTTAATAAAGCTGCAGATGTTCATTGAACCCAAACTGTGCTTGTGTATTATAGATTCCGTGATATTTGACATTCGTGTACAGGAACTACGATGGTTTTGAACTGTTTTTGTTGCATGTTTCTGTTGCACTGTGCTTTCTACTCCTCAATTTTTGTTCTTATCAGGTTAATGCAAAAATACTGATATACTCTGTCATTAAAACTTAGAACGCTGGTCAGTCGTCAGATTTTTCATGGAAACCGGCGAGAGCCATCCGTACTAGGACATTGTCAGGTCCTTACCATGGACGATTACTATTCTATGTGGATTGGGAAAAGTTTGTTATCTTGCAGCTTGGATTCTTTCCGGACAGTGGCAAATTTCGCGCTGTCCAACCAGCTGCTCAAGGAGTATCTAGTTAGTCGAATCCCAAAATGAATTGAAAACAGTTGGATAAAATACGATCATTCTTTTAGCCAAAGGAAATGTTCTTCTTCTGGAGAGGAATGTCTCATGGTTATAGATAAGTCTTTTTTTTTATTAGTGAAGCTACCCAAATAGCAAAATGGTGGGGCTTGGAAATGGCAGGCAATTCTTTGCTGTGTGGTCATCTTCATACTCTTCCCTCATCGGTGCCCATTCGCCGATAGCATCGGCAAAATGCACAGCGTTTGTGGTGTTCGGTTAATGGGCGAGTTTTTTCTTTCCTTACACCTCCTTCTACTGTTTCGTCTTTATACGTAGGATTATGAGACCTTGTACTACTGATGGTAAATTTCTTACTACACATCTGAAAAGGATTCTCACCGATTTACGAAAATGTTAGAGAATGTTTCCATTCGGTCCAAATCCTTTGTTACTATTAAAAGTTCGCTTTTGTCACTTCTAACCCAGATAATCGTCGTGGGACACCCGAAGAATCATAGTATTGATATAGTGAATCCTTATTTTTAGTGCTGTTGGTGATATGGCAGGCATCTGGACCTTGTTGAGCTTTAACGTAACACAGGTTTATTGTTAGCTAAGTTTCCCGATTGGGAACATCGAAATATTCCTCAGTTGGATGCCCTAGATGGAGAGATAAACGCGCCTTCGTGTATCCCAGTTCGAGGTACAGGAAGCTTCCCCGCCATGGTAAATTGTTCATCACTTTCTTGAAGCATGTGATACGCATATTTTTTGCAAAAAAAAGTAGAAATATAAACAGTTTTTTTTCACATACCATTTCTCAAGCAGCTCGTTATAAACCGAGATACATGGAAACAACAGATAGCCGAAATGTTCCTAGTTCTATCTGTTTCCTCAACTGTTATGTTTTTGATCACTAATATATCTCCTTCTATCTTCCATTCTTTCAAATTCCTGCTACTCACGATACAGTAGAATCCTTGTTTCCATGTTAGAATACAGGAGTACTTATCCCTATTGCCCACAAATTGCGTTGTGAGAGTTATCTCGATGGATACTTGGATATTTGGATCTCCCTCCTCACCAGTTGTGCGGACCCCAGCACAATCTCCATTTTTTCGGAGATTTGTTGGTTTAGCCACTTTGGTTCTCTAGAATCCCGAAGTCGAATGTTGCCAAAGTCTGTCCCAGGTCTTCACCACCATAGGCAACCGCAACTCTTGTGGATTAGAAGGAGATTTGCAACCATGCGACTTTGATACCAGGACGGTGGTGGATCCTGGTATTGGTTTACTCGTAGCTAGGCTTCCTGATGGAAACGCCGGACTCCTTCTCAGTTTGGGAAACCCTACCAGGGGGTGATTCCACCTGCTGTCTCTCGCAGCCCAACATCCAGGAACAACTCCCCGCCACGGTGAGGCGGTAAACCGTTGGCAGGATTTTGACGGATAGTTTGCAAAAAAATTGTGCAGTACAGTAGGAAATAGGAGAAGGACATTAGCACAGTCGATATTTATCCTTAAAGTGCTTAAAATAGTTCTTAATGTATTACAAATGGGAACGGTAGAAATGATATTATTTTGATGTAACTCAAGTATAATCTCTGCGCTTGCGTCATTTTAAGCGAAGATCACCATATTTTGTTGGTTGATCTGAGAATCCTTCATCTTTTCCAAATAGATTGTCCAAGGAAAAAACCATTGTGTCCTCTGTTTTTTTTTTTGTTATTTCTTATTACATCCTTACTGTTGTACTGTTGATTTCTTCGATTTCGCAAGTTTTCTACAATATTCTTTCGCGAAGCCTCTCATCCATCTGGAGTCGAGAAATTGTTATCAAACTGCTTTGGGAAAAGTTCACTATGTGCAATCCATGCGGGAACGATCTAGCTTGGTTTTCTCGAGACTCCAGAGAAAATTGGCTCGACCAGCATTCAACGACATTCGTAACGAAGACGAAAGTCCTTAAGCAGCATTTGAATCCGCAGGAAAATGTTTGAAGACATTCGTGCCAGGAAACGAATCGAATGCAAGAAGTACTGGGATCCGAATGGTAGATATGAAAGACAGGTTGTATAAAATAGAAAAGAAAAATTCGTTTGACCTTTGAACTTTCACTCCTTTCATGGATTTTATTATTGTAGATGAAAGAGTGAAACCATAGCTGAAAGCAGCAGCTGCCTAAACAATCGACACTGCACTTGGCCTGAACTCACTTAACGAACAGACAATCCAAATTGCAGCAAACCAGATTTGCCCACCTACCAAATCCACAAAATTTCATGGCTAAGAAAACACTAGTGCAAATTCGCAAAATCTTCAGAAACCATTAGTAAAGGAAAACGCAAAATTAAGCTGTTGATATTCACTTGGGTAACTATCCAGGAGAACAGTAGTCTTAGAAAATCCAATTTTTCCCAACTGATTACGTTATGTTTCCATTTCCTGACACCAATTTTAGTTGTGCAAATGCGGAGATGCCTAAAAAGCCAATCCTGAATTCTTTTGTCGTTATTCTTTGAAAAATAAAATGTTTGTGCATGATTTGCTGCTCGGATCGAATCTCCGGAGACCTCGAACTCATTTCGGTTGAGGAATTATGTACGTTCGATTGCAAACGTGAAGCTTCGCCGACCAACCAATTACCGTCAGTCTATTTGTTACTCGGTCTGAGAAAATGTAATTTCATCTGAAACGACGAAATTTTTATTCCATAGGACCCACAAATAAGAAGTCTGTCGAAAAGGGAATCCGTCAGGATTTCGTTGAATTAGTGTTCTTCTGTTCATGTCACTGGCGAACATGTCCCATTAGCAATCCCTGAGTTCTCACTTTTTTTTTCAAAAGTACGAAGAAATACCTTGTAAAACTGTTGAAAATGCGAAGAGGGTGGACTTCGTTCTTCTTCCCACTTTCATTTTGATATTTTTAAAGAGCAGAGAAAAGAGGTTGACTAACGGGAAACCTATGCGGAATGTGGAATGGCTTTAGAAGTCGAAACCAGAATTCTCACATAATTATTCTGGACATCGAATTCAGCTAGTGGTTCAATGGACGGCCATTTTCTTTGTGTGTTAATTTAAGCACCGCTTTGTTTTGATAAGATTATGTTTAATAACTCGTTCTTGGTTCTTCCCTTCAAGCGATTATGTCGAGCAAAGAGAGAGAGAGAGAGAGAGAAGGCTAAAAGAAGAGAGGAAGAGAGCGAGTTAGAAGGACACAGATTATCCAATCTCTACGCTCTGGAATGGTTTAATGAATAGCATAAGTGTTCATATTGTTGAACTAACACGAGGTTGATAAAGTTGTTTATTCGACTAACGCTTTGACGCCTTCGTCTTCATCAGAGCCGACGATCCTTGTCGATGGTCCACAGTTGGTCCTCTTCTCTATGGGCGTTTTCATCTCGCGCCGAACTGGATCTTCCTCGGTTGACCATCTCTAATGAACCATACTCACCCGGTGGCGTCCCTTTATACAGGGCAGTTGTTGTTTATATGATTGTCCGTTGATAATAGTTTGTTTTTCAACGGATAATTCACCCTGCAGCAAACGGTAGTTTGTAAGCTAGTATATAGCAAATAGATATTAGCGTTAGTGTTCTTGTGTTCTTTCCAACGTATGGAGGATAACTGCGAACTCTTATTACACGTCTGTGGTCGCTATTATCGACGACAAGCTTTGTTCATTCATCAGTACAGTGTCCAATGTGTTACTTATGTATAATATGCTTAGAAGCTAAACACAAAAAATGAAAATGTAAAGAATGACGTCAAACTACGACTATTCTGTAGAGCTCATGTAGTTCATTTTCGTACGATCACCTCGAAACGTATGTTACAAAGATGTATAAGTATTCCTATTATTGATACTCTCCTCCCGTTGTTTTTAATGCCCTGAATCCACTGAACAAGCGATGACAGACTCTGAACTGGGGTAAAAGTGATAGGAAGTCAGTAAAGAAAGACGATCACCATAATCAAATGAGGAGTTGTGCTCCCTGCTAACCACTCCTGACATTCACTCAGCAAAAACATTAAGACAATGTGAGCTATGTGTTCTTTTTTTGTAAGCTTGCGCGAGGTTGATAAATATTCTTTATTTTCGGCTAACATTTCAATACCTTCATCTTCCTCTGAGCCGTTTATCCGAGTCGACGTCCACAGTCAATCGTCTACTCAATTCGGATAATCGGCTCTGAGGAAGAGTGAAGCGTCGAAACATTAGCTGAAAATGAAAAATATTTATCAATCCCATGAAAGCTTATCAAAGAAAGAATACGTATTGATTAATCATACCGAGGTTAAAGGAAATTCGGTTTTGAAATTTTGAAAAAAAAATTTGAAAAAAAAAAGCACTGTTTTAATTAGTCCTTCCATTTCGACAACTTTCTTGTTATATTGAGAAAATGAATAACAGACTCTCTTCTAGTGGAATAAAGAGTAAGCCGGTAAGGCAAGATATTTTGCTAGAAAGTTCCCACACAGTGTGCCGACGTTGGAATATTCATTTGTGCCGAACCAAAACTCTCAAAGGAGGTTGAATTTTCGGAAGACTCATCGTCGTTAGTTCACTGAAAAATCGAAAAAATACCTTCTGGCGTTTGTTTCATCCACAAGATAGAGATATATACGGACTACTGTGTGCCACAGTGAGTGCTACTCAGTTGGGTTCGC